TGTATTTTGTTTTTGCTTTTCATGGGTGTATTGTCAAACCAGTAAAATCACTATAATAAAGTTTAGGTATAGAGGATTTTTTGCAATACGGGCAACTTGGTTTTAAAAATTTAATTTTTCGCTAACTTTTTATATAAACGTGGTCAAATCAAAGCCCCGAAAAATTAGAGTTCCAAACCTTGTTTTCGTTTAAGTATTACACTTCTTTAGAAAAAAAATTTAGTTTGCAGCTTCTTAGCCCATTTCTATAGATATTTTCAATTTAGTTTTTTTTTTTTTGTAGGGTGTCGCTCATTTTTTTCCATATAAAAAAGTTGCTCTATACGGAGAAAATGAGCAAACTGCATAGTATAATTAAAATGGTTAATTAATGAGGTACCAGCTTTCTTTTAAAAAATTATAGAAATCGGTTAACGAGGTCCAAAGTTATGCGGTAACATACATAAAACAAAAAATATTCCGACGAATTGATAACCTCCTCCTTTTCTTGAAGTCGGTTAAAAATAACTAGCCATTTTTAGCCGGGGAAAACGCTTTTATATAGCCGACCTTTTTTGGTCATCCAGCTGGTAGTCTCAAAAAATGCTGGGGACACTGCTTATAAGTGTATTTTTCTATATTTTTAAGCGCCACATAACTTTCGAATGAACAGAAATGCTCCTGCTCTGAAAATATTCAACGGGGGCCGCGATGCTGGTAACAGAGGAAGAGGAAGGCCTCCTCTGCGTTGGAAAGACCAGGTGGAGAAGGACTTGGCTTCACTTGGCGTTTCCAATTGGCGTCAGTTAACACAGAAGAGAAATGACTGGCGTGCTGTTTTGGACTCGGCCAAAATCGCTTAGGCGGTTACAGCGCCAATAAAGAAGAAGAGACATAACTTTCGATTCTACATAAAAAAAAAAAACGTTCACCTCTTAAAAACTCAGTACTTGAACCACGCTTTTCGTATGTATGTACATACCTTGCAGGGAAATCCCGAACTAGTGAACCAAATTTTTAGTTCCGTACTAGATCTAAATCGTCAAAAACGAACCAGTTCGACAGTAAAGCAGGGAAATATGATACATATAAAAAAAAAATATTTTATTTTGTTTTTTAAAACTACATATCAGTAGAGCAGATTGAAAAGTTGCTGCTAAATCCACTTTTTCTAAAAAATTATATTCATGAGCAAGAAGCAAGCTCAATCAGTGTTGCCGCGCCCGAAAATTAAAGTTTAACAAAAGCTTTCAAAAAGTTTAACATCCCGTTAAAATTAAGCGACGGGGGTTAGGTTTGCATGAGAGGTATGTGTTAAAATAAACCGATTACTCCCATTTTTTGGATGTTTAGTTACATATAATGTTATTGCTCACATATAAGAAATACGGCCTTGAATGTACATATTACTCTATGAAAACGCCTTAATCGACTCCAATCGGGACCAAAACTTATATGTGATATCTTCGACTATGGTAGAATCAATTTTGGGTATAAGCTGAAAAAAAAAAAAATTATTTAAATTTTTTTAATCTCTATAGAAGAATCTGTACTTCTGTCTGTGTCGCACAGGGGACACGCCTTAGCCGTCTCCAATGGGGACCAAAATTTATATGTGATATCTGAGACCCTGGTATTACCGACTGAGGGGGTGAGACTGAAAAAAATCAAATGAAGGACCACCCTAACGTACAATCATACATGCATATACCATGTATATGTATGAACTCATAAATGTTTCTGTAAGGCGAACGAACGTATTGAACTGCGGCTCTTTTAGTGTGCTAGACAAAAATATAGATTCAATTCTACTTTGGCGCTCAGCCATACTACATATAATACCATAGAAAAACTATAACACCAATCTTTTGTCAGAAAATTGTAAATTGCAAATTGTGCAGAAAAACTGCAATTCTAATCTCAGCGAAACAAATGAATGTACATACATATGTGCACAAAGCGCTTCTGGTGTTGTTTCTTTGTGTTTCACATAAGCAACCCTGCGGGAAATGTATCTAACTATAAGTTAACTTGAAGTTGATTAGGAAGAAGCTAAAGGTCACTACTATTATCTGTATATTTTCTTTGAGGAAAGCTAACTATATTTCTATGGCAACGATCGCGAAATAGTCAAGGGTGGTTACCTCTGCATTTGATGTAGCTTATTTGTAACTAACTACTTTTGAAGAAAAATATAAGTAAGAAAAACGAAAATTTTTTTTTTTTTTTTTTTATACTTTTTTACTTTATTTTATTACATTAGATATTTGTTTACATATTCTGCTGTAGGTAGTCCCATATTCGAACTCCGTCAGACATAACTTCAAAATGATAATATAAAATTTCGAACTTCCTTTTATTTGTCCTCAACTCGAAAAACGATTTGTGAAGTCCAAAGAGAAAGTGTATTCAAAGTAAACTTTGTACGGGGATATTTAAATAGAAACTTGTTTAAAGGAAACCATGTCCCGATTAAGTCGACATTACTCCTGCATTACTTTTCACCTAGTTTCAAGTTAGCTTTTTGTAGCTAACTACAAGTTATATATTTTATAGAAATTCTGCAAAAAAGCTAATACAAGTTGGTTATTTTTTATCAATTGATATTTTTTTCTGCAGGGAAGTGGTGCAACAACCACAATGCAGTCATATGTATTTGGACCAGCTTGCGTAAGTAGCATTGAAATATGAAGGAGATTTGAGGAAAATACATACAAACATACATTTTTACATTTGTATGTCTCCACGGAACTCTGACTTTTTTAAAACTCCTTTACAACTTAGAGTATTTGTAAACGATTTTCTCTTCCGCTTTCGTTTCACTGCCCGTTAACTGACTCAACAGCTGTGATAATTCCGACACCTGCTATAAATCATTGAGATTTTTTTTAACTGCAACTGAAAAACGAAAAACAAATGAATGAAAACCATTGGGTACAGGTGAAATTTATGATCTCGTCAACTAATTTATCTGCATCTTTGTACATTTTTTTGTAAATTTCTTTTACAGGAACAATTTTAAAATCGCAACGTATGTATGTACATAAGGGCGGTCCTTAAAAAAAATCAAAAGAATGATTTTTTAAGTCTCATTTCCTCGGTAGTACCACGGTCACAGATATAACATATAAATTTTGGTCCCGATTGTAGGCGGTTAAGGCGTGTCGCAAAGGGGTCAAATGCCAGATGCCTGCGGAGACTCCAAATATTAAAAATATTTTTTTTATTTAATACCCAAAATCGATACTACTAAAGTCCAAAATATCACATATAAATTTTGATCCCGATTGGAGTCGGTTAAGACGTCTTCATAGGGTAATCTGAACTATGACCCCTGTGCGCTACGCATTAACCGACTCTAATCGGGGCCAAAATTTATACGTGATATCTTCGACTATAGCAGCACCGACGTAGGGGTTGAGGCTTAGAAAATCTGAAGCAAAAATTTGCTTCCTACATTTAGCGAACACCCTAATATACATAGTACGCTTTTCTTTGGTAGGGCGTTCTTCAGGCTATGCTGTTACTATCGCGTAATTAGTTATGTATGTATACTCAATAGCGACAATGAGAGCAGTCTACGCGTAAGATAGGGTAACAAACCCATATGTAGCGTAGCTTTTGGGAATGGGATTTTAAAATACATGAATTTCCTTGGATATTGGCCTCCCCACACATCGACCACTTATTCAAATGGAACGAATATCCGGATACTCTATAGCGAAAGTGCTTCTATTCAACTACAAGATGTGTTACAGACAGGACTTGGTTTTGGAGCGGAGCGGAGCATAAAGCGAAATCAGCAAAGGATTTTAGCTGGAACTTAGTTGGAGCAAGGAGCTAAAACAATTAATTCGCTGCTTAGCTCCTTAAAGAAAAATGTTCAGTTAATACATTTACTTAATTTTTTTGCCACTAAAAGCAACCGTATTAGATAAATTTCCATTATATTTATTTCAGTTGTCAATTATGTTTATTGCCCAATGACCAGCAAAATTTTTAGTGGAATGTATAAAAAATATATGTAGAAATATATTATTTTTTATTATTTTATTTATGTATAGTAAGGGTTTTTGGATTTTGCACTTTTTGAAATATTTAATGTGTTTTTACTAATGCACAAAATAATTTTTTAAAATTTTTGTCAGTGCTATCAGATCTGCACGATCGTTCTATTTTCAAAAATGAGGTGTCAGATTGATCTGTAGACAATAGAGCTTTCTAAAGGAGTTGCCAAAAGTTTATTGAATTATTAAGAGATGGGTATCAATCGAAATGAGTATGCAAAGAGTTTGTTTCATAACTACATGTAGGAGGGTTGCCACCTTTAAAAAAAAATCAATCTCCATTTGAATTAAACAGATTAGGTAATGGAAATATATAGATATCGACATATGGGAGCCAGACGAAAGACATTGAAGAAGGTTTTAGCTTGCAAATATTACCAAGAGGGTTGCCACCTGTGTCGAACCAAAGGTTTACGACATCGTATTTGTTATTTTATTACAAATACATACATTTTCAATCAGTGATTTGCTCTGATTATATTTCTTTTAAATTACTGGACTCTGAAATTAAGTGTAAAGCTTCAGGAATATTTTTATTTCTTGCTAAATATGTCAAATTTTTTCTTTTGTCTGATACCCATATTGATATACATATTTCAGTTACCTAATTCCCTTGATTCAATTGAATTTGATTTTTAAACATGTGGCAACCCTACTACGTGTCGTTTAGAAGTAAAGCATTTTGAAAAACATTTAGACTGATGCAATGAGAAGGCAAACTTTTCTTGGTAAGAAAGAAAACACCATTACAGTTTGGGGTGTACGGCGAACTTTTGTTGTTTGCTTATAACGTGGTATGTATGGTCTAATGTACATGCCTATGTACTATATGTACCGATGATATTTATTAAAACAAGAAAACATAGTTAAGTATAAGCATAAGGAATAAATATCATACAATTTTTATATAACAAAACATATACTGGATATTTATGTATGTACATATTTACTTACACACATCTCGCAATATCTGGTAGCTACAAATAGTCCAATGTATACATTCTCTTATGCAATGAAGTAACAAATCACCTGACGTTAAATAAATTGAAATCCTGTAAAAGATAATAAATCAATTTGATTAAAATAAATTGTATAAAACAAACAAGCTTACAGTGTGGGTTTTGTATTTTAGTTTTGTATGCGAGCGTATTGTATGTAATTTATTAAGTGAATAGTAGGTACATACACATGTATGGGCAGGAAAAAAAATTACGAAATCAGAAAAATCTAAAAGAATGAAGAGAATAAGAGAGTGACGAACGAAAGGAAATAATTTATTTACTTGCACAATAGTTGATTGTGAAAATTGAAATAAATTAAATGTGAAGCAAAGTAAACATGTGCGCTTGCTTGCCAATGTACACGAGTATTGGCTCAAAGAGCATACACTAAGTAAGTCAAATCGGTTGCAGCGGCCAACGGAGCTTGGAAAATGGTTGGTGGGTGTGTAATTTAAGCAGCATTCAACGACAAAAGCGCTATGAATGATGTATGGCTTTGTGTGCAATTTGTATGTACTCAAGTGTGTACGCATATAAGTACATATCGAGCCCTAACCGCCAAAATAACGTAAGCGACACTTTTTTCAAAATTTTCTTCTTGATGCAGAAATATTCCTAGAGCGTCTAGATGCATTTCTGCATCAAAAAGAAAATTTAAAAAAAAAATGTCGCTTACGTTATTTTGGCGGTTAGGGCTCGATATTTAAGTGTGTTAGTGTTGTGCAGTAGTGCAGTGATGCCGACAACAGCAGTTGCTCCCCATTCACTTCGATAAAAGTGAAAACTTTGTACATAGACGAGCATAAGGAATGTTAACCGGAAGTTTTCAACTTTTCAAGCAAACAATTCAGCTAACCAACCTACTTAACACCCGTCGCAGACTGACTGGCAGATGTAGTCCAAATATGTATGTATACATATGTAAGTTTGGTTGTATGTGACAGATGACATCTTTTAGGCGTTGCCTGTACTATGTAAAGAATCTATTATGGAAAAAATTTAAACTGTTTAATATAACAATATATAGCACAGAATGGGTGTTTTATACCTTTTCTAATCAAGCGCCATAAATGCACAAGAGTAAGGGGATTATTAATATACATACATACATACATACTAGGTCATTTCGGGGGAAAAAGTGGGAGGTGAGTACGGCTGGTAGTTAAAATTACGACACCATTGCTCTTGTAAACAGTTTTAGAAATGACAAAATCTATTCGAAAGAAAGAAATTCTAACCTCATTCCTTAGAAAAATCCTAACACTGGCAACAGTACTGAGTTTTCTGCCTACAAACTTACAGTGACTCACAGAAGTATGTTGATTTGATTTTCTTACGGTGGCCGACCTTCTTTTTTTTTGGGAATTTGTTTCGTAAATTTTTTATAGAAATATAGCTCATTCTACAACAAAAAGTATGTAAATCAAAATTTCAAACTTTCGAGAAAAATTAAGGAAAATTCAGCAAATTTTCATCAAAATTTAAAACTTTTCAATCAGGTTTTTTTTTACAAAGAATTCGAGTATGAGTATTTTTAGTCCATTCAATTTTAGTATAGGTACAAACTGCACGTTTTAAATAGCTAAATTTTTTTGATAATTTTTTGTTGGCGTTGTGAATAATTTTCTTCCAATAAAAAGAATCTTCCTGTTTGGCATTTTCAGTTCAGATTTTTAATTAGCTCCAGAAAAAAATTTACTTTCTCATGTACACTTATTCAATTTAACATATGTTTATCACCTTTTAGCTACTCCGACACACTGTGCATAGATAGCCAGTGATGTCTTGGTGTCAAGGAAGGTAACAGTTCTAATCGAAAACAAGTTTGCTGGTGTAACGACATTATAAAAGAACTAAGAGCAAACTGCCTTAGAGAAAGATGGCTCTGTTAAAGGTTTCAGCTGAGACCAGGGCACGAGAACAGCACCCGCTAACGATTCAGGTGGCAAGTATATTGGAAGATTGTAAGGCATCTGGGCCAGATGGTATTCCAAATATAGCACTCAAATTCGGAAGCTGGTGATGTTTTCGAAACCAGGGAAATAACTTGGCGCTTCTATATCACATTGCCCTATATATCTCGTGGTTACGATGGATAAGCTGCTCGAGATCGGATTATCTACAACAGACTACTGCCATTCACAGAAAGCGAACCCACACTATTACCATACCAGTATGGATTCCGGAAGAAAAGGTAGACGTTAGCGCCATTTTAAAATTTGTTTATGTAGGTATTCAAACCCATGACTTTACTGGCTAAGTTTTCAACTTGAAATTATATTTGCTGCTAAATCTTGGGGTGTTAGTTATAAATATAAAAAACGACAAAATGTGACCTTCACCAATATAATTTTTTTCGCCGAAATTCCACTGTGCGGCGTTACAAAAGCAAAATTTGATTCTGATGTGTACATACACATACACATGGGCTTGAAGGGGATTTCATTTCAACATTAATTTGCTAGCTTAGTTGAATTTTCTCAGCTACCTTTTTAATACTGTTAATAGCTTGCCAGCTGCCGCAATGGAGCGTATATATTTGCACTATGTTTCACTTTTAGACTTTCCGCCTGCAATTGAAAAGTACATCAGTGTAAATACATATATACATATATATACATATACATACATACATACACATGTACTTACAAGCAGAACATGCTAATTTCATTGTCTTTTCCTGTGCTAGGCATCCTTTAGGGACGCTATCGCAGCTTTTTGACCTTAAGTGAGCCAGCCACTCAACTTGCTGACCTTGTGAATAAGTGACCACATTTTCATTTAGCAAATGCTCACCCTTAAATGAATTTGTGCGTCACACAACATTGCTGTCCACTTTTGTAATGCAATATCGATTTTTGTTGTCAAGAAATTGCATCTCATAAAATTTTCATTAAAAGCACAGTGTGGTCTGATGTACCAGTGGGTAGCTTTACTCTAATTCAGAACATAATTTGAAGAGAACAAAGAAACACAACTGAAAAACATGCCGAAAAACATACAACAATGGGAAATAAGATTGCTATACATCTCTGCTCTGATCTCTGCTTAAAGGACGAGTAGATCAAATAATCATTTTGCCATAGAGCAATATTCGAATGAATGAAGTAACGAAAAGGATATCATCCACCATTACGGAATTTGCTTTTTAATCTAAAATATTTAAATAATCTGCTTTTTCATACAACTCAATTAAAGTTTCAAGCGAGGATTCTTGACGCTTTTTTCCCCCGGTTAAAGGGACAATTCTCACGTTTTTGATTCGCATGCAAACGAAAAAAAAATAATTGCAAATCTACTTCAGAAATTTAGTTTTTACTGAATGAAGCTTCAGAGATTTGGGGCAATTGAAGAACTCTTCACAGAAACAATCTGTATTTAGGAACTGAACTGATTTAATTGAAAATCTTTGTGAGTGTTTTACTTTTTCCACTAGTTTCCTTCTTCTGAGTTTATAAAGTTTCAATTATATCATGTTGGATAGCTTTTTTTTTCAAATATGATAAATGACCAAAATATTTTTTTTTAAGAATTTTGTCACCTTCGGTATGCTACTGACTAATTACACCGAGGTTCTAGTTTTTCAAAAAGTTTCCTTTTTATTTTTAAGGCATTGATAACAAAATGAAATGCCTCGAAATTTGTGGGATATTTTGGAAACATTATCCTACAGCTTCTACTTCTTCGTCCATTTTAGAACCGTCACAGAGGATGTGCATTGTGTTTCTTTTCCGCTCCCTTAGGCCAACCACCAATCTTTTCCCGCAGCTTTGAGAGATCTTTCGAAACTGCATATCATTCAAAAGAAAACAACTCTCCGAATTACTGTATTCAAATAATTGCGCCTTTTCCCCAAATATTATATAAATTTTTTGTTTTTGTACGAAAATTTTATTCTTTTAGGCTACCCCTCTAATAACGTGTAGAATAGAACTCTTAACCGTAAATAGAACAAGCCCACTTAGGTATTCAGAAGTGCTAAATAGAGTGGTTATGCTGTGCTATTTTACATTCACGTCAAGGGGTTCACCTAAAAATGTTTTATTGCTGGTGAAATTTTCTGCACAAATTTTAAGTAACACTTCATTATTTTTAAGCTAAAGGATTTACGGCTGCGTACTTTCGTAACTGGAGGCAACAAACACAAATACATATACATATGTACATAGCTATTTATGTACTATATATTTATTTAGTTATTATTCCTCTAGATGTTGAAATGACGTGCAGCAGAAAGAAATAGTACACAGCAGACAGGCGTGAATGGCTTTGTGAAGAAAGCTTGTTGCCTTGCCAGTCTGTCTGTCTGTCATAAGCAAAGCACTGAAAATCCGGAGGCCAACTGTCCACTTACTGTGTGTGATCCCAGATAAGAGTAGATAAGAGCGTGCAGAGTGTTCAAGTGCCTCAGCAGAGAATTAGCATTTAAATGCGATGCTAATTAGAAATGGGAAAGCAACAGAAAACATGGAATGCAACGTGATGGACGTAAATTGCAATGCAAAATTATCGTTGTGAAAGTGGTCAGAGTGCAGCAGACAGCAGACTAATTAATTTCATGACTAAAACATAAACATAATTGCATTTGTTAGGAAAGGTATGAATATTATATAATTAAGTAAATGGAAGTAGCATTACGCGAATTATTCTTTTTCTCTCGCTTTGATGTTAGCAGTGAGAGCATACAATTTCTTCTAAGAAAATTAAATTAGAAATTGAAAGAGCTGCTAAAAAATAGCTTAATTATACTAACAACAATATAACGAAAATTAATTAAGTTTAAGTTTTTTTATTAATATTTTGCTTGGAAGCTGCTTGTAGGTAAAAGTATGCTAATCGCCAGAAAAAGTCACGTTCGTTTTGGATTACGGCGGCATTTCTCCAGCAAAGGTGCGTTACGTTTCTAAAGCAGAAGCGAAGCCGGATGGTTAAAATCACTTTTATCCACATTTAATATAAGAGACACGTTCAGAAAGTACATAAAGGCTTCACACAATTTATTTTGACTTTATACTAGATTGCCCTCACCCGCTTCGCTGAGTGTGTGAAAT